CTCTCTCTCTCTCTCTCTCTCTCTCTCTCTCTCTCTCTCTCTCTCTCTCTCTCTCTCTCTCTCTTTATGTGTGTGTGTGTGTGTGCGTGTGTTCAGACTGGTGTGCGTGTGTGTGTGTGTGCGTGTGTGTGTGTGTGTTCAGACCGGTGTGTTTTGTGTGCATGTGCATGCTTGTGCGTGTGTGTGTGTGTGTGCCTTGCGCTCGTGCGGGCTTTTTCTAGGGCCATTTTCAAATGAATCTGGCCACCTATCTGCACCAATGCAGTGCAGAAAGGTGTCCCGATACAAACAAAATATGACCACTTTCTTCTCTCTCTCTCTCTCTCTCTCTCTCTCTCTCTCTCTCTCTCTCTCTAGTGCAAGAGCGCTTACGGCCATTTTCAAATGAATCCGGCCACCTTTCAGCGCCCAATGTGGTGCCAGGAGGTGGCCAGACAAAAGAAAATGTCCCACCTTTCCAACACACACACGCACAGAGACAGACACACACCCAAAAAAAAAGAAAAAGAGAGGAGGGTGTATTAAAAAAAGGAAAAAGAAGGAAAACATGTTCGTGTTCTCGCCGGTTTTCGGCAATCATTCGCATTCAGCTGGCGGAAGTGAACACCATGCTACGAGGTGTAGTTTTGTGCCCCAAACAGATACTCGTGCATAGAAAGGAGATGAGCAAGCTCCGCAATTGGCTAACAAGGTTGGATTCTCACCCAGCAATGACTCTAATAAGAGGAACAAAAAAAGACTGCACAAGGCCGCTCACAGAATGCGTTTTCTGCCAATTCAAGCCAAAACCACAAGACATGTGTTAGATCGCTCCAGCTGGCCTCAATGTCTCTAGCTGTGGGCATGGTCAACTTGAGTTTAACAGATTAAAAACAGTTCTGATACAGCATGCAGCTTGCACAAGAAAGAAAAAATGAAATAAGCTATAAGCATGCAAGATGACGCTAAAATGAACATGTGCTGTCTCTGTGATTATGAAACTTTTCAGAAAACGTTTTTTTGTTACATGCGCACGAGTTCTCATGCTGCAAACAAAGATGGTGCTTCAACAAGGGGCAAAAGAACAAGGCATGTTCAGACCTTCCCTCCCCAGCTTGTAGCTCACAACCAAGCCCTCTCACATCTACAACAAGGAAAGAGCGGATTGCAGAACTTACACACAGGCGATCGATAAGGCGGGCAAGTGACTGCAGCGCCTCCCGACGAATCTCTACTGAAGCTGAGCCGACATCTCCCTTGAACATCCGCACCACAGCCGGCACAACCCAATGCACATGCACCATTGAGAAGCCCACTGCTCAACAAAGTCAGAGTTCGGAGTGTGGGAATCTCATGAATGCCAGAACGAAGAGTGTATTGGTGCAAAGTCTTGCACATTTTCACATTGTCTTTCATGCATCTTGTAAAGCACTCAATTTTTTTATTTTTTTCAACCGAAAACAAGTGAACATTCAGCACTTAAACTCCCTGTTTGGACACCCAGCTTGTGTGGCTGAACGGCACACACTGTAGCTATTGACAAGATGAACGCATTTAGAGCACATCAGAAGCAAACAAAAACGGGTGGAATTATAAGGGATAGTCTAACGAACTGATGGAAGGAGGATACTTGTTTGAAAACTTGTGTACAAGAAAGGCAAGCACGAGTAGGGTTGAAAACGGAAGAAGTGACAAGAAACGAAGGCCTAAAGGAGATAACAAAAACAACAAAAAAGTAGCTCTCGAGAAGTTTTTATGTCACCTCAGCAGGTGACTTAGAATGTTGTGGGCATGAGATATACACAAGAGATGGCGAGTGACCTCTTTTTTGTGTGTAAGAGCAGTGCTACAGTGGAAGAAGATGCCATACAATGGCAAATAGGAAAGAAATCAACATAGTGAATCATCCCAATAAAGATGTGGTGGAGTGATAAAACACCTGATCAACTGCTTAACTATGCATTTAAGCCAATTCAGGGTGATGTCACTGCTCACAGGTCAATCTGGCACCTCTATCGCTCAATATCCTTTTTGGATAGCCGAGTCTTTGAAGTTTAAACTACTTATCAAGACAGACCTTCGCAGATGAATGAACCTACCAGATTTTGAACTTTTGGCTATGATGCAATGATCCACATGGTTGGACACTGAGTAACCTGCATTTCTGAAAAAAGTTGCTGTCTTTGAAGTTTTGTATGTGTGCCTTGCTGATGATATGAGTCATGCCCTTTTTGCTTGCCTGAGTCGAAGTTTCCATCCCCTGCTAACTCTGTTTTCCATCCTGTTATTCTGTGCCTTAAACGGGTAGAGTGGCACATAGGTGAAATTGCAGGAACAGACCTGAAATTTGACTACAGGCTCAATACTGAGTGTACAGACTCATGTCCTTCAGGACATCCGTTAAAATTGGACCGATACGGAGAGGATTAGCATGGCCCCTGCACAAAGATAGCATGCACATATCGAGAAATTGTCTACAAACTTGACAGAGACACTTACCGGGAATTCCAGATTGCTAGGGATAGAACCAGAATTTGTCATGGATGCGGTAGGCATTTTCCAGCAACTCAAATAGGCCAAGGAAGTCCGATAGGCTTAGAAAAGACCGGTAGATTTCCAAAACAATCTTGCAGGGGCGGATGTAGGTAGGTACCCAGGTAGATTCAGGTCCTGAAGTAGGATTACAGGCTGCAATGATGTTCCCGCCAAAGACGGGACTTACCTGCAGGCCTTGTGCACCAGTAGACGCGGGGAGGTACCCTGGGTAGAGGTACTGGAAGCCTAGGGGCATGAATATACCATTTGATGCAATGAATAGGCTGGACATTCACCTGGCAGATATGCTGCTGCTCCACCAAGAATGTGAAGAGGCACAGCAGCTGGGGGGCAAGATGTGTGCTGAGGGGGATGGAGAAGATCTCCATGGCTATGATGGAGATGAGGGAAAGTGCCAGGCTGGAGAGAGAAGTGGAAAAATCAATACCATGTTATGTTGTTAGTAGGAAGAGAGTAGCGAGGAGGAAGAAGGGAAATGTTACATGCTGCGCCTGCAACAGGCTGCACGGGCCATTTTCAGGCCCGTGTCGTTTTCAGCCCGAAAGCCTGAAAACAAGGGCCTACAGGCCCTGTGTCGTTTCAGCCTG